GACAATTAGGTATTCTGAGTTTAAAGGGAAGGAAAAACGATATGTATGGAAAATAACTAAATTTATCAATCAGTGGCATGTTTCTGTATTTCTTCAATTATTAAAGCCCGTTAAAGCAAGTTAATATTTATATCAAATGGAAATGATCAGAAGGAAGATCTTAAGACCTTATTTACTTAACTTCAAAAATAACGAAGTAGAATGGAAAAAAAATGTGCTGAATAATAGGTCAAAAGAACTGGGAGCCAGAGGCCAGAGGGTACTTGAGGCCAGGAGTTCAAGACCAGCCTGGGTGAGACCCTGTCTCTGCAAAAATAAAAATAAAGAAACTTATTTAGGCATGGTGGCACATGCAGGTAGTCCCAGCTACTCAGGATGGTGAGGTGGGAGGATCACTTGAGCCCAGGAGTTTGAGGTTACCATCAGCTATGATTACACCACTGCACCCCAGCCTGGGCCACATGAGCAAGATTGCCTCTATAAAGAAAAGAAGAAAGAAGAAGGGATAGCCTGGGGAGAAATGCCAAATGTGGGTGAAGGGGAGAAGAAAAGCAAAGCACACTGCCATGTGTGTACCTACGCAACTGTCTTGCATGCTCTGCTCATGTACCCCAAAACCTATAATCCAATAAAAAATTAAAAAAAAAAAAAAAGAAAAAGAAAACAACAACAACAAAAACTGGGGTTTATCCTCATTACATACGAATCTCAATTTCTCCATCTGTAAAATGGGTGAACCATCTTGCTCAACTCGGTGTTGCTCTGAAGAGAAGATGAGTGTGAATTGCACTATGGCAGTTCCGTTTTGTTCATGTTTACAACTTTATTAAATGTCGTGAAAGAAGTAAAGATACTTTGATTTCGTTTTACTAAAACAAAACACAGATGGAGTTTTAAATAACTCAAGAGTCATTTGAAGAAGCTTAGCTAGGATTCACCTAAAATGCTTCTTATTAACTGTACTACCTAGGAACGCCAGTTTGGCAAGAAAAGTCCAAATAATGGAGTAGATACTCATCTGAAGCAGCGGACATTGCTGTATATGGCCATAAGTCATGTTCCTAATGACCTCTAATGTACAGAATATCTCCTTAGAGATGTGGAGAGTGGAGTGAGAATGGATCAGAGTAGCGGTCTACAGAGGGTGCCAGTGACATCCTCTTACGCAAAGAATACGCATGCTAACTCACTGGGCAAGTTGCAAAGTTTAGAATCACTAACTTTAAGAAATACCCAAATAGATAAGGGTTTATCCTTTTACTAGTATATAGTAAATCTTGGAAAACCATGACCCAAGGATAGAACATGAGCCACAAATGTATCAATTCTGAACTTAAATTCATGGTTGGTAAAAAATATACTCTCACTTGCTACAAATCTAGATTTTTGAGATTAAACATTTTCCACAGTATATTTCTTAGAGCACTAGCTTTAAATAAAACTAATAAATGCTACCAAAAATCAGAAGTTTTAGAAATACTAGCTTATCACCTTTAAATAGGCTTCTATAAAACATGATTTTGCAAAGTTTTTTATTTATTTATTTTACTTTAGCTGCATACTATATCTGGTATTACTCCCCATGTTATCCCTCCCTTCCTTCTCCACCCCCCACTGTCTCTCCCCTACCCTGCCCAATTGCCCCCAGTGTGTGATACTCCTCTCCCTGAGTCCATGTATTCTCGTTGTTCAACACCCACCTATGAGTGAGAACATATGATGTTTGGTTTTCTGTTCTTGTGTCAGTTTGCTGAGAATGATGGTTTCGAGATTCATCCACATCCCTACAAAGGAGAAAAACTCATCATTTTTTATGGCTGTGTAGTATTCCATGTTGTATATGTACCACATTTTCTTTGTCCAGTCTATCATTGATGGGCATTTGGGTTGGTTCCAGGTGTTTGCTATTGTACACAGGGCTGCAATGAACATGCATGTGCATGTGTCTTTCTAGTAGAACAATTTATAGTTCTTTGGGAATACCCAGTAATGGGATTGCTGGGTCAAATGGAATTTCTATTTTTAGATCCCTGAGAAAACGCCACACTGTCTTCCACAAGCGTTGAACTAATTTACACTCCCACCAACTGTGTAAGAGTGTTCCTATTTCTCCACATCATCTCCAGCATCTGTTGTCTCCAGATTTTTTAATGATCACCATTCTGTCGTGCAATGATATCTCAGTGTGGTTTTGATTTGCATTTCTGTAATGACCAGTGATGATGAGCATTTTTTCATATGTTTGCTGGCCTCATATGTGTCTTCTTTTGCAAAGTGTTTGTTAATATCCTTCACTCACTTTTGAATGTGGTTGTTTGTTTTTTTATTGTACATCTGTTTCAGTTCTTTGTAGATTCTGGATATTAGCCCTTTGTCAGATGGGTAGATTGCAAAAATTTTTTCCCATTCTGTTGGTTGCCGATTCACTTTCATGATGGTTTCTTTTGCTGTACAGAAGTTCTGGAGTTTAATTAGATCCCATTTGTCTATCTTGGCTTTTATTACCATTGCTTTCAGTGTTTTAGTCATGAAGTCCTTGCCTATGCCTATGTCCTGGTTTTGCCTATGTTTTCTTCTAGTGTTTTTATGGTGTTAGGTTTTATAACCTATGGTGTTAGGTTTAAATCTTTGATCCATCTGGAGTTAATTTTAGTGTAAGGTGACAGGTAGGGGTCCAGTTTCTGCTTTCTGCACATTGCTAGCCAGTTTTCCCAACACCATTTATTAAACATGGAGTCCTTTCCCCATTGCTTGTTTTTGCTGGGTTTGTCAAAGATCAGATGATTGTAGATGTGTGGTGTTTCTTCTCAGGACTCTGTTCTGTTCCATTGGTCAATGTCTCTGTTTTGGTACCAGTACCTTGCAGTTTTAATTACTGTAGTCTTGTAGAATAATTTGAAGTTCATAGTGTGATGTCTCCAGCTTTGTTCTTTTTGCTTAGGATTGTCTTGGTTATGTGGGGTCTTTTTTGATTCCATATGAAGCTTAAAATGTTGTTATTTTTTCTAGTTCTGTGAAGAAGGTCATTGTTGGCTTGATGGGGAGAGCACTGAGTCTATAGATTACTTTGGGCAGTATGGCCATTTTCACGATATTGATTCTTCCTAACCATGAACATGGAATGTTTTTCCATCTGTTTGTTTGTGTCCTCTCTTATTTCATTGAGCAGTGGTTTGTAGTTCTCCTTGAAGAGGTCCTTTACATCCTTTGTTAGTTGTATTCCTAGGTATTTTATTCTCTTTGTAGCAAATTGTGAATGGGAGATTTCTCAGAGTTTTTAATCATATGTCAATATCAGTATGAGGTTATATTATGCAGCATTGCTCAAATACACTGGAACAGAGAAACCTTTATTCTCAGTATAGCTAGTGTTCCAAGGAATACATTGTAAAAAGTGCTAAATTAAAGGATATTTAGAACCTGTATAACAGAGGCAAATTACCTATCTGAAATGTCCAGGGAACTGTTATCTACAATATACTTGCTAGAGCAATCTTGTTGAAAAGGCAGATACAGGCCAGGCACAGTGGCTCATGACTGTTATCCCAGCACTCTGGGAGGCCGAGGCTGCTGGATCACTTGAGGCAAGGAGTTTGAGACCAGCTTGGCCAATATGGCAAAACCCCATCTCTACTAAACATACAAAAATTAGCCAGGTATGGTGGCACATACCTGTAATCCCAGCTACTGGGGAGGCTGAGGCACAAGAATTGCTTGAACCATGGAGGCAGAGCTTGCAGTCAGCCAAGATCGTGCCACTGCACTCCACCCTGGGCAACAGAGTAAAACCAGGTCTCAAAAGAGGGGGGAAAATAACAAAAAAGAAAAAGATGGGCTACTGTTAATTCAGATGCTTTCCTTGATTCAGAATCAACATGCCTCTTGGATATGGAAAATATGAAGACACACCAAACAGTAGTTTAGCTTTTTCATGTTTATACATGAACTTAGTATTTGATCTCAGCAAATTTAGGAAAATAAAGAATCAGAAGCTTTCTATTTTTCACCAAAAAATATTTCTCTAAACTTCTTCATGAATTGAGAAACCCTGTCTTCATTTGATGGTTTCCGTTTTGACATTTTGTGTTACTGGCGAAGTTCAGAAACTTAGAAACGTAGTTGATTCCATAGAAAATTCAATTCTTGAAGAGTAGAACTTGAATTTTCAGGGTGAATGTGTGTGTTAGGACTATGAGTCATACTTCATTCTTATGTAACTGAACATGTAGTTTTATTGGGGCTCCCTTTCTTTATTGCAAAAATACAAGTTATCCCCAACACACAATTTATTGACTACTACAACTTAGCAAAAAATGATCTGGCTTCGTTATTCATCCAGATAAGAAAAATTTAGTGGATTAAAGGCATTGGAAAGGAAATTTTAATAGTGATGAGAATAGAATGGGAGAAGGGAACAATAGAGACTTCAATAGTATCTGTAATACTCCATTTTTTATATTTAAAAAGATGCAAATATGAAAAAATGACATTTGCCAATTATGTGAATGTATTACATAACTTTCTTACATTAGTTTGCTGCTTTTTTAATTAAAAAAATAAATATTACTAACAATTTATATGATCATTCATTCATTCATTCATTCAACAAATACTAGTTGAGAGCCTACTATGTGATAGGTGCTAGCAATAAAAGAGAAAGGAAAAGAGCCATCATCCCCACCCCCCTGGAGCCTGTGTTTAGATGTGAAATGTAAAAAAATGTTTGAAATCTTGTTTAGAATGTGTAGAAATGACAAAGGGAGGAAATGGGGGTGAATTAACTTCATTGATACCTAAGAGGCAGGGCTGCTGTGGGTATGAAATCAGTAAGCAAAGGCCTTTCCATACTGAGAGAAACTGCCTTAGTTTTAGTGAAAATTGAGTTGGAAAAAAATACACACTGGCTACGGGCCACATAGCTACAGCAGTCTTACGTGGTATTTCATTTTCTCATGGTTGCGGCTCAAAGTTCACATGCATTTTTCTTTGATTCTCTCTAGTATATGACTGCTGCTGCTCCTATGCAAGGGACCTACATTCCCCAGTACACGCCTGTGCCTCCGACAGCTGTTTCTATTGAAGTAAGTCTATTCCTGTCTAATAGAAAGAGGTTAGAAGAGATAATGTCTCAGTCACATGCACTGTAGTCCCCCGTAACCCTAGGAATGCTCACTTGCGATTTTTGTGCTACTCTAAAATCTTGCATTGGAAATTCAGTATATGAAGATAGAAACATTTACCTCGAATGTGGCTGTGTTTTGCTTTGCACATGAAATGAGCTCATCTGCTACAGAGGCACGACAGAAGTCTCTTTCATATTTTGAGAAAATTCCAGAAACCAAATCATGACTCCATCAAATTTTAATCACAAATACCTAGGAAAAAAGTTTACAACTATGTGAATGAATTAGTTCTCTAATGCCTTGTTCCTCAAAGAGTGGTTCTTGGACCAGCATCAAAGGTATCCTTTGAGAGCTTGTTAAAAGTGCAGACTTGGGCATGATGGCAGGCACCTGCAATCCTAGCTACTTGAGAGGGTGAGGCAGGAGGATCTCTTAGACCAGAAGTTTGAGACCAGCCTGGGCAAAATAGACGCTGTAAGAAGGAAGAAAAAAAAATGTAGATTTCAGGTACTATCCAAGCCTGTATCTGAGTTTGCATTTTAAGATGATCACTCAGTGATCCAGATGCACATTAAAATTTGAGAGACACTGGATTAATGCACTAGTTCTCAAACTTTTCTGCACATTGAAATTATTTGGGGAGATTTAAAAAATATTGATTCCTGGGTCCTATCCCCAGAGATAATGATTCATTTGTCTGGAGTATGGACTGAACATCATATTTTTAAAAGATCTTAGATGATTCTTATGTGTACCAGAGACTAGAAACCATGGCTCTAGGCCAAGAACATTCACAGGTTTGCAGCTTCTTATAGACAAGAAAGAAACTGTACAACTCATATTGCTGTGGATATCATGAATGATGTCAGTTTGTCCTTAATGGAAGCTTTGCTGCTTTCCTTTTCTCTTTCCATTGTGAAAAATCCATGCCCTCTATACATCATTTGACTGGACAGAGCTATGAACTACATAGAAATGGAGAAGGCACAGAGCTATGTAGATGATGGTAAAACCCTTAGGTATATGTATTCTCTCTTGTTCTAGCCATTGCTTTTTTATTGCCCTTCCTTCCCCTCTCCTGGTGCCCATGTGCAGTGTAGTCACTGTGCATTCCTTCCCATCAGCTGGGAATCCTTTGGAGTTGTTGTTTTTGCTACTCCATTTGTTGGCAAGCAACTGGTGAGTTAGTACCACCACTCCACATAAATATCCACCAAAACTCTCAATCTCTGAGATTGAGGGAGACCTTTACAGACTAAATTGGATCTTCTAAAATGTTTCCTGGTTTTGGTGTATGACAAATGTTTGTTCATACCAAGGTTTAACAAAACCAGAAGTTTGACAGGGCACTGATATGTAGCTTAGGAAACCAAGAAGTTCCAATTTTTTTTTTTTTTTTTTTTTTTTGAGACGGAGTCTTGGTCTGTCACCAGGCTGGAGTGCAGTGGCACAATCTCGACTCACCGCAAGCTCCGCCTCCCAAGTTCAAGTGATTCTCCTGCCTCACTTGAGTAGCTGGGACTACTCTGGGAGTAATAGTAGCTGCACCACCGTGCCCAGTTAATTCGTTTGTATTTTAGTAGAGATGGGGTTTCACCGTATTGGCCAGGATGGTCTGGATCTCCTGACCTTGTGATCCACGTGCCTCAGCCTCCCAAAGTGCTGGGATTAAAGGAGTGAGCCACCCCGCCTGGCCAGGAGTTTCAATTTTTAAATCTTTCATGTCTTCTAGACCTATAGGTCTCAAACAATGTGTCATCTTAAACAGTTTTAATTGTCTTTTCAGAATGTGAAGAATATGTGATTAAATCTCCTGTTCTTTGCTATATTTAGCAGTCAAAAAGCACTTATGCCATGAGAAAATTTTAAATCTGGACATTCTAGGCACTTTAAATGTCAACTTCAGCCACATATTTGCATTTCTCTGTGTACACCAAAGACATACTTATCTACAAAATTTGACCATTTTGATGATTAAGAGACATATGACTGTGGCTTACTGGAAACAGTCTCATTATAGTTAGATTTAGGGATTAAAAAGTATTTCACTGAGAAAAATATAAATATACTCTGATATTTCCTTGAACCAGTGATTATAAGCATTAATTCATTTTCTATGTAAAAACATTCATTGACCATTTGTCAATATCTATAAAGTAAATGCTGGTAGGCGGGTCCAAAAAAATAATACCAAGCAGTAAATTTGTTAAGAAAAGATTGAATAAATATAGACAGAATTTTCAAATTCTAAAGAAGAAATTTAGGGAATTTCAGTTAGCGACAGAATTATCCAAGAACATTTCAAACTTGACATCACTGCAGGTATCCAGGACTACAAACACAGCCAGGAACATTTATTGAGATAGATGCTCTGCTTAGGCTACGAACAAGCAAATAAAATCACCTGTGCCTCTGTGGGATCCAAAAGTATATGTCTGATTATGACCATTTCCAGAAATCCACTCTTGCCAGCATCTGTGAGAAACAAAAACAGAAAAGGTAAAGGGAAAGCAAACCGAAATTAAGGATAAGTTGTTTTGTTGTTTTTCTAAAACTTCTCAATGATTTTCAGTTCATATCCTGGAAATCAGAACAAAATCAAATCAAATTACTGAAGAGAAAACCACCTATTTAATAGCATCCTTTTAAAAGATTTCCAAACTTTGATGTCTATTTTTATTAAGTTCAGGTTCCTTTGTTATGCCAAACGGTATAGACATGACACAGTGAACTATGCCAGGAAAATGTTTGAACATACAAGTTTTTATAGGAATCCTAAGTGAGGATAAATTGTTATTTATTGTGGATAAATGTGCAAACATCATTTAAAAGTTCCAAGTACAGGCAAAATTATTTTATGACCACTTCTCCAAGGACTTCAGATGACAAGGCTTCTTCGTGTCACGTTAGGATGAATTACTTGGCCCTTATCTAAATGTCTCTCTGGGTTTCCTGTGAGTACCTATTATGACTTCATGTAGCTGAAGGCATCTCTACTCAAGCCAAAGAGAAGAGGGTTACTTACAACCCATCTAGAGAGGGCCCTTTGCTGAAGCAAGTAAGGCTTTTCTCTTCTTGTCTCCTTAGGGTGTTGTTGCTGATACCTCTCCCCAGACAGTGGCACCTTCATCCCAGGACACCAGTGGTCAGCAGCAACAGATAGCAGTGGACACATCTAACGAACATGCACCTGCATATTCTTACCAACAGTCTAAGTAAGTCTGGGCTGTGCTAAGCTCTTTTCCTCAAGATGAACCGTCTTGACATCACTTTCTCATGTTGTATCTGTTAGCTTTTGCTGAATTACAAACCATCCCAAACTTAGCAACAAGCATTTTATTTAGCTCATGATCAGGTGGGTTTGAAATCTGGGCTAACTTTGTGTGGATGGTTCTTCTGATCTTGACAGGAATCTAACATCTAGGAACAGCTGCTGATTATCTATGCATCTCTGCTTCTGGGTGTTGCTAGCTATTGGATGTGTGATGGAAGTGACTGGGCTGTATGTTTCTGATCCAGCAGGCTAATTCACATGGAAGTCTTAGGAACAGCAAAGAACAAGCCCAAATGTACAAGTACTCTTCAATTCTGTTCATTACTAATTTTCTACTGTCTCATTAGCCAAAGGAAGACACTTGGCCAAACAGTCAACGTAGCAGTTCGCTTTGGAAGCTTAAAATAGAGAGAGGCATTGCAGGCATTTTTTTAAAACCTACCATATTTATTACTGGAAAAATTATAATATTCCTCCCTGAAACTGAATAGAGAGCCTGCATTTTGGTCTCAGTCTTCTCTTAAATGAAGACAGTTACATTCCCCCTTGTGGGGTTACTTTGAAGACCCAATTAAATGCCCATGAAAAGAGTATTGTAAGATATAAAGCAATAGAAAATTTGGTCTTATTCAGGAATAAAATGGCAAGTATTTTCAGAATTACTCTGTAAATCTTTAAATCACTCATAATGCAAAGTACATTTAACTTTGTGTTGAGTAAATATTTGGAAAACTTTGGTAAGGTTTGAGGGCTTTTTATTGAAACCAAAAGAATTTATACAAAAGGAAAGTCTTTATACAGGTGTCTTGGCATGCGAACTATTCCATTTTCAATCAAATCCCTCAATAGCATATCCCCAGATAATACTGACTGGCTACTCCATTATTTTAAATAATAATTTTTCTTGTTATAGAAAAAAATTATTTTGGTATTTGTTAAAACAATAAGGAAAACTTTATTAGGTTTGCACAAAAGTAATTGTGGTTTTTGCCATTAACTATTGCAATAGTTATTCAGATTATTGCAATAGGGAAGAGAGATCACATTCAATTCAGAACACAGCAAAGACAGCTGGGGATTTGCAGCCAACAAGCAGAGTGCAGGGAGTCAGGGAGTGGAGAATTACTAAGATAAGACATCAAGAACAGGGGACTTACTGCTAAACTAACTTGACAGGGGTCTTGCTGAAGGCAGATCAAGAAATGATAACATCAAAGGTACGGGATGAGAAGGATGAGAAAATTGATCAGATATTGTGTGTGGTCATATCCAGGATAGGTTACCGCCTCTTTAAACTGACTTAGCAAGATTCTTGCTAAAAAACTAGGCTATAAAGAACTGGCAAGAATGGGGGCAAAGTCTATGCATGCTCAAGAAGCGGACTCAGAGTAGCCTGATGAAAATTTGAGCAAGAAGGGAGTCTTCACTTTTTTTTTTTTTTTTTTTTTTTTTTTGAGACGGAGTTTCGCTCTTGTTACCCAGGCTGGAGTGCAATGGCGCGATCTCGGCTCACCACAACCTCCGCCTCCTGGGTTCAGGCAATTCTCCTGCCTCAGCCTCCCGAGTAGCTGGGGTTACAGGCACGCGCCACCGTGCCCAGCTAATTTTTTGTATTTTTAGTAGAGACGGGGTTTCACCATGTTGACCAGGATGGTCTTGATCTCTTGACCTCGTGGTCCACCCACCTTGGCCTCCCAAAGTGCTGGGATTACAGACGTGAGCCACCGCGCCCGGCCGTCTTTGTCATTTTTTAACCTCAATACACATTAAGAGATGATTTGTTAGATACATCAAGACAATAAACTGTTTTATGTGTGGTTTAGCTCTAAAGTCAGCCTTACAAATTCTTACAAATTAAATTTGCTCAGAATATGACTTAACCTTACAATGTAAGGTATTATGATTGCTGTTATTACTATCAATAAGGACTTTCAGAAAAGATTGTTCCTGGCTGGGCGCGGTGGCTCACGCCTGTAATCCCAGCACTTTGGGAGGCCGAGGCGGGTGGATCACGAGGTCAAGAGATCGAGACCATCCTGGTCAACAAGGTGAAACTTCGTCTCTACTAAAAATACAAAAAATTAGCTGGTCGTGGTGGCGCGTGCCTGTAATCCCAGCTACCCAGGAGGCGGAGGTTGCGGTGAGCCGAGATCGCGCCATTGCACTCCAGCCTGGGTAACAAGAGCGAAACTCAGTCTCAAAAAAAAAAAAAGATTGTTCCTGAGTAAAGCAGTATGTCATTAGTTTAATGGACATAGCCTGTGTGAATCACATTTATGTGCAGCACTAGCACTGTGGTAGACTCTGAAACTCACTGCAGTCCAAGCATATTGAAATTTTTCAGTCTGGTCAAGGGGTTATATGTGAGGAAAGGAACAGATATTGGCTATGTATAAGCATAGCAAGAGACACTGGTGGGAGATGGGATACTGTGGGTAATGGGAAATTTTGTGACCATTTGACTGAACCACAGGGTACCCATATATTTGGCCAAACTGTATTTCTGGACATATCTGTGAGGGTGATTTTGGATGAGATTAACATTTGAATTCGTTAAAGTAGATCTTCCTCCTCAGTGTGGGAAGCCCCATCCAATCAGTTGAAGCCTGCATAGAGCAGAAAGTTGAACCTCTCATGAATGAATGAGAAGTAACTCCTGCTACTTGACTGCTGGAGCTACAACATTGGTCTGTTCCTTTGGACTTGAAGAAAAAATATTGGCTCTTCTTAGAGCTTGAGCCTGCCAGCTAGGGAACTAGAATTTATATCAACTCTTTCAGTTCACAGACTTTCAAACTCAAACTAGAACTACACTAGTGGCTCTCCTGTGTCTCCAGTTTGCCAACTGCAGATCATAGGACTTCTAGATCATGAGACTTCTCAGTCTTAATAAGTGTGTGAGCCAATTTCTTATTTAAGAAAAAAAATTCTCTCTCATATGTATTATTTATATGTGTGTGTGTGTGTGTGTGTATCTTTACATGTATACATGCCCACACACACAGTTACTTCTGAAATTGGCTTTCTGATTTGATTAGATTTACAGGTACTAATGACTATTTCTAGTAGTAAAGAGTATTTATATTCCATGACACGATCTGTCAATGGAGATAGGCAAATTATCTCAATTAGATACACCTAATCAACCACTTTTAAGAATCAAGGAGATGGGTAACTATGTATATGACATTTTAAAACATTTTTGGCAAATTAATGAACATAATATGATTGATTGCTCCTAATGTCACCGGATATAGTGGGGAAAGAAGAAGATGCATTCAGGGATTCAGATATTCAGCTAAAAGACTGTATAAATGTTTTGAAGGTTTCTATGTCTGCCTTGAAAAGCTCTTTGTTTCCTGTAGCCACATGGCTAAGATTGCTGAAAATCAAACCCAGAATCTCATCCTATGACAGGCTGAGTTACAATAAAAGCTGAACTCCTAATCTCATGAATATCTACTGTTAAAGTAAGGGCATTGATTGAGAAAGAGTGGGATCCTGTAAGTAGGCATGGATATACGGAGGAAGAACCTAATTAAGCTGGGATGAGTATTCTTTGCCAGGGGAGGAAGCCTCCCCATACCCAGTGAGAGTGGCATCTCCACTACAAGTGGGAGTGATTTCTCTATCCCTGTGTGAGGACATTAACCCTGCATTGCCTGAAAAAAACTAATGGCCTCCCCTGAGCCAGTTGTCATGTAAGACCATGCTGAGTCTTCTTAGGACTCACCACCACTGCACCTCCTTGCTTCTAGATCTGTAACTAGCCTGAAGCCTCACAAGCCCCTAAAGGTGAGGTGCAAAATGTCAGCCATAAGCAGGTGGACCACACTTCAGAAGAACTACTTGTATTTTTTACTTCATACAGACAGAAATCTAGGGAACACAGGTGGAAATGGATATCAAGGATGTGAGATAATAATGGAAGGAATAAAACATTGGATCAGCCCAAAGTAATTGACATGGGCTCACTAAGCATAACGTCTGCATGTAATGTTGCAACTCAAGGAGTTATAAAGGCTCTGTTACTTTGGTTGCTTGACTAAAACATGGAATAGGAGATGACCTATAGTTAGCTAGTTGGAAATGGTAGTCCTACCTTGTCCAACCTAGAGGAAGAGATTCGAAGGCTTAGAGAGGTTGTCATTTAAGACCTACTCACCCACACTGGGAGGGTCCAGAAGACATTTCAGCACAACTATAAGAAATGCATATGTGAGGAGAGCCTTGGCATCCTTGAGTAACTTGGTAATTGTTCTTCTTTGTAGCCCACAACTTACAGTGGGAACTATAGTCACTGAATTGGGAAACCTAAATGCAATTAGAGTTATTGGATCCTGAGTGGCTGGGGCCAGGTGGCAACATTCAATCACTAAAAGCAAGGTTGGCATGGTTACTGTAGTGGACAGCAGAGACAAAACAGCAATCAGAATTGTCTGACTCATGCAGACTTAGACACTGGCTGGCTAATCACGGTGTTCCTAAAAGTGAAATATGTAGAAAGTCTAAATGCTTATTTGCTTTGTATAAGCAGAAAAATTCTAGGTCAGGTGAATAAATGTCTAACTTGAATCGTAAAGACAGATTCATTGACACTTCAATCAATTCCCAGATTTGAGCCAGTTTAGAACCAGAATCCAGTGACTGAAGAGGAGGTTGGGTTTCCTCAAAGACGGACACTGATAATCTATCAAAAATGTATACTGTTAATTTTTCTCTCAGCCTTCCTATAAAGGACTATTGCCTCTGACCAAAGAAAAGAAAAAGAGTCTATTGGACACAGGCTCTGAACTGACATTAATTCTAAGAGCCCTAAAATGGCATCATGGTGCACCAGAGTATAGGCGGTCAATGGAGTTTCAGCTCAGGTCCTTCTCAAAGCCCACCTGGTGGTGGTTTCCTTAGTTCTGGACCACTCAGTAGCTTGCAGAGTCCCCA